TTAGAGAGTTAAAGATCTTGCCGAGGCTGCACAGTTGGGAGTTTGAATCCAGAGTCCAGGTTCCTAACTGCTGTACCATGGCCCCACTGCTGTAAGTCTTGGCAAATTTGAAAGGATCCCACATGTGCTGGGCAGAGAGAAGCAGCCGGTGAGTGGAAGCAGCTCCCCTTCCTTCTCTTCCTCTCCTGCTGTATCCTCCAATGAGAGCCCCGGCCTGCCTGCAGTTGGGCTGATGCCCCACGGGCCGGCCATTGACTGCCCTGCCTGTGCCTGAAATGCCTTCCTTCCCCATTCTGGCCTGTCCGCCTCTTCCCTGACGCCTTCCCGGGAGTGCCCATCTGTCCTCAGCACGTGCACGGTCTGGCAGACTCTGCCTCGCATGGCTGATAAACTGGTACAGCTGCTATATGAACCTGACACGCTATCGCTACTCACTTGGGAGTTTTGTCTCAGGGGCCAGCGAGGCCTTGGGGTATCTGGTCCACCCCAATGGCCATGCAAATTAGCCAAGTCCCCTTAGGCACCAAAGCCATCCTTGCTGTCTCAAGGGTCTGGGGCTGGGCATTTGGGTGTGATGGGAGCCACACGCACGTTTATATGGAAATCAGGCAGAAAACCAGTGCTCCGTCAACTGAAAGTCTCTCCTTGGAGGGCAGTCCTGTCTCACCACTTGGCCCTTCACGGGCCACACTGCTGTCAGGGAGACTCAATGTCCTTGAGCCACAGGCTCTCCAGGAGGGCACTCTATTCCTTGTCCCTCCTAGACACCTCTCAGGGCCCTCTCTGACCCAGGCCTCGGGAGAACGGCCCTGTTAGCATTGTGCATTCATTCCCTAGGGCTGCCTGGAACCAGTGAGTAACTGTAGACCTGGTGCTAACTGCTGTTAAACCAGAATTTTATTCTCTCCTAGTTCTAGAGGCTAGAAGTCCAAAATCAAGGTGTCAGCAGGGCCGTACCCTCCAGAGGCTTTTAAGGGAAAACCTGTTTCTTGCTGCTTCCAGCTCCTGGGAGTTGCCAGCTTCCTTGGCTTGTAGCCACATCACTCCCATCTCTGCACTGTCTCCTCATCTATGTGTCTCTTCTGAGGATACTTAGCATTGGATTTAAGGCCTGAGTGGATAATCCAAGATAATCTCTTCAACTCAAAATCCCCAACTGAATCACATCTGCAAAGGCCCTTTTTCCAAATGAGGCCACACTCTCAGGGTTGGGGATTAGGACTGGGTCAAGCCTTCTTGGGGGTGCCCTTCAGCCCCACTGCACGGCGGGTGAACTTCAAGGTGGGGGCAGCACTTGGAGCCTGGCCTTCATCATCCAAAGGGGTGTGGAGAAGCCCGGGCCCACTTTCCAGGAGACAGTGGCTTGATGTGGAGGCAGCTCCACCCTTCAGGGCGCCCTGGCTAGGACCCACACAGAGTTCAGGGCTGGGTCCAACCCTGAAGGGCTGCATTCTGGCCTGCTAGGTTCATGTCTTGTGGCTGCAGCCATTCAACTTGCCTGTCTTCTTTTCAGTGAAGCCAAGGCCAAGTGCAAACTGCACGGCCAGAAAGAGGAGTCCTGATGCTTCAAGGAGCCTGTCTGTACCTTTGAAGGCTGGAACCCTTTTCATTGTGAAACCCTAGCCTGAACCTTCTCTAGTCCAGACCTCGGTTTTAGCTCCCGGACACATCTGAGGAAGGACACATTTCCCTTGGTGGGGATGGAGGTGGCAACGAGGGACTCACTGGGCCATGCTTCCCGGAGCCTGTGCCCCACGGGCTCATGAGTGTGGGTTGCAAATATTCTCCAGTCTGGAACTAACTGTGGGCTGAGAGGGGTTTCAGTGGGCAGAGTGTGAGAAAATACAGCCTGGTTGATTTGGAAGCTGACGGCAATTAGCATCTAACCACACACCGTGGGGGCAGCGTGGGGCCGCTGACAATGCCTGCTCCTTGCTGGGCGGGGAGGGGAGCACGTCCCAGGAAGACAGTGCGGGTGGGGCTGGCTCCCCAGTGTTCTGGCGGCTGTCCAGGGTGGGCGCGTGCATACGTGCGTGCACGTGTACATGTGTGCATAGGTGGGAGCTAGAAGGGTACAACTGGAGACCTGAGAACTGAATTTGTACCATGGGGCTCTGCCCTTTTCTGTCTCAAATTAACTGGAGAGAGCGGCCATCTGACTCTGAGAGGGGCCAATCGACGTCCTCTCAAGCACCTAATCCAAGAGACACGAAGCCACTGGGGCTCATCCCTGGAGCCTGGGGCCTGGGGCCTGGGGTGCCATTTGGAGGCCATGGGTTGATCTGCAAGAGAAGCAGACAGAAGCCAGCCCAGCTCTGCCTTTCTTCTGCTCTGGAAACCCTGAGTCACCCCAATACAACACCTCCTCTGCTTAACGTCAGCTTCTGGAGACTTTGGCTAATTGAGCCAAGCAATTCTCACTCAAGAAGGACCTCCATGAGTAAACAGACCTTACCATTATTATTATGTAATTTGCATGCCAAAGGGTGTTTATGAACAGTTCTTTAATGAGTGCAAAACCCAGTGCACTCCTGGTTCTCTTGGCTTTGACCACTCATTTATTTAAAGACCCGTGGTTGAGGGGTGATGGGGAGGAAAGCCAGCCAGCTCGAGGACAGGGGCTGAGGAATGAACCGAGTGAGTTAGCAGCCCGGCCCCCAAGTGCCCCAGGTCCTACTCACCGTCAGCGGGGCTGAGGCCCCTGGCCGCAGAGATGGTGGGGAGCGTGGGGCTGCCGTGCACGGCACGGAGGTAATGTTCCATGTGGGGGCTCACGTAGGGGTGGGGGGCGTTGAAGGGAGACTCCCCAGGGCCAGCAGGGTGTGGGGAAAGCCGGATCAAGGAGATATCAGAGATGACAGGGCTGCCACTCAGGGCAGGAGGCCTGTAGAGACAGAGGGGAACCGTCTTAGAAGAGGCACACAGAACCCCGCCAAGCAGCAGAACCAAATCTGGCAGCCTGGACTTTTCATTTTATATGCCCACATCCTTTGGTCACCCTTTACATAGAGTCTGAATGCTTGTACATCAGCCAGTGAATGCAAGTGGAAACTCCGTGGGCTGGTGTGGCCGCCCACCCACCAGTCTCGTGTTGGCGATGGGATGCTCAACACCCAGGACTGGATCTGCTGGACCACAGGCTCAGCAGACCACACGCCTGTGCGTCTGGTCACCATTGCTCCTCCGGTGCCTGCTCAGGGCTGGACACACAGCATTACCAAGGAAGTCTTGGTCAAATGTACAAAAGCATTCAGGCTACAAAAACAGTAGGAAAAACAGACCAGGAAAATGCTTCCACCAGGGGAAGGGTGCAAAGAGCTCATATTCCTAACAGGATTGAGGAAAAGAGGAATCCGGAAATGCCTTGAAAGTGGAGAATCTGGGGCTGCAGTTGGACCATTACTGGAGGAAAGTGCTCAGCCCCAGCAGGGTCAGCTAAAAAGGAAAAGACCAGGATTCAGGAAGACTTTTGTAGTGGTGGGCTGCAACGAAAGTTCTGGAATATCATTTTAAGCTTTCCTTCCGTGGAACTCCTTCCGAGATTCACAGAGTCACCCTTCTCTGAGGCCCACCAACAGCCGGGCATGCACCCGGCTTGGGCCGGCGTGGCTGGGGCCCAGCCCCTCAGTCAGCTCTCCATGAGGTGCCGGCTCTGCTCAACAGAAAGACAGGCCTGCTCCCTGGGAGCCTCCAAGCAGCCGTTAGCATCTTCACTGCAGGGGTGTTTCCAGGTCATCTACTCCAAAACTCACTCATTAAAGAAAAAAAAAATCAGACCAGGGGGAAGTAACTGGGGAAACCATCAACTAAGTCACTGGGAACCAAATTTACCAAGAACTAATTTTCAATTTTTCAGTAAATAGGAGCCTCTCTGTAATTTGATGTGGTGCAAAGAAATGAGTATGTGTTTGTTTTTTGGTTTTGGGGGGGACTTTTGGTGGGGGGAGGAAATTAGGTTTATTTATGTGTTTTGATGGAGGTCCTGGGATTGAACCCAGGACCTTGCGCATGCTAAGCCTACACTCTACCACTGAGCTATCCCCTCCACCTGAAAAGAACATGTGTTTGAATCAGACCAAACCTGCATTAGAATGTCAGCCTTCATTAGCTCAGTCACACTGAGCAAGTAACTTAACTCTCCAAGCCTCAGTTTCCTCCCCTGCAGTATGGAGGTAATGACAGTATCAATGGTAGAGGGCTGCCGTGAGGATGCAAGTGCCCCCTCAGTGGCACCTGAGACACAGCTGTCAGTCAATAAAGGAGAGCTGTTATTACCATATTAGTACCACACTCTGAGGGCAAAATCCAGATGTGCCCGGCAGGCCCTCAAAATCTTTACGTGGGACTGATGCTGGATGTGTGAAAAGGCACCGTTTGAACCGGTGCCTTCAGAGAGGGCACGATTTGTCCACTGGCTGGAGCAAACCAGGCATAATTACCGATTATGTTCAACAGTGCATGGAAATTGCACTTACAACACAGCGTGAACCAGGACCCGAACAGGTGACATCCAGATGTCTCAACATGTGGGTTACACAGACCCCCCCATTCAGAGGCTGCTCCACTGGCCGGCACGGAAGCATTCTGCCGTACTGTTTTCTGACTTTGGCAGATGTGATTACAGTGGATGCGCAGATCCCGTGGACCCACCAGGCCACTCCCATGCTGCTGCGCTTTGGCTCACACTGATTCTGTCTGCACCCTGTACCTTGTTGGGGCGATTCCTTTTCCTCTTAGTAAGCCCAGGTCGGGGACCCTCTCACTGGTGCCCTTCCTGAAGCCCCTTCCCCTGGCACAAGCCCTCTGCTCACTTCTCCCTGCTACACCCGGGGTCATGGTCAGGTCTTAGGTTGGCAGGTCTACCTCCCAGGTAACCAGGTTCTATCTGGGAGCAGGCATGTCCGGATGTGTGTCCGAGACATCTCTGCAAGCCAGCGCCAGCACCTGGGAGGGAACTGGCATCCTGCAGGCGTTTAGAGGTATTTTCAGAACCAGCGATGGCTATGTGTCCGTGAGCCAGGCACTGAGCTTGGCAGAAGGGAGCCTTTGCAGTAAGTCACAGGACACCCCTAGAGGCCAGGCCTCTGTGAAGCAACTGCACTGCATGCCAGGGACTTAAGAGATGGCTTTGCTCTGGGCAGGGGATGCCATGTGTCCAAGGGAGGGAAGAAGAGCGAGCCGCCTCCTGCCCTCAGAGCCTTGGTCCTCCCCCAGACACTCAAGGCAGACAGGTTCCAGCGCACAGGCTGGGGTTGAGGTCAGAGGAGCCTGTGGCCACTGAAGCTGGTGGCCCTTAGTGGCTTGGTCCAGGCCTCCTTGGCACCAGGTCGCCCTGTGAGGTGCGTGGATCACAGCTGAGGTGCCACAAGACAAGCTGGTGACCACACGGGGGTTGAAAGGAACACATTTAGGGCAAGGGGCAGCCCCAGTCTGTTCAAGATGCTCCCCTTCCCACTGCCCAGGTGAGTCCCTCCCAAGAAGGAGGCTGGATGAGGTCTCATCATGGCAACGTGCACCCCTCTGTGGGGCTGCCCTGGAGGGGCTGGAAGCCAGTCCAGTCTTAGCAGTTGGCTGCAGAAGTGGCAGGTGGGGCCCGAGTCCCGGCACGGAGGAACTGGGACTTTTGTCTCCACACCCCCATTACCACCTTTTGGGGGAGAATGAACTCTGCCACCTCCTTCCCACCACGTTCTTCACCAAGAAACGGAGCTCAAGATTCTTTCAGGCCACCCTCCTCCCTGTCTCAGGCCCTCCACTCCTTGCAGGGATGCTCTGCCAACCTTGGGACAGCAGCCCGTGAAGGAAGCAGGGGCTGTCTGGCCACCGGGCGGACACATGAAAACTCTGGCACCGATAATCCCACTCACCCATGAGGACCCTGTGGGGAAGTCAGCCTTCTGTGCCATGTGGCCAGAGACGCAGGCCAGGATTCAGCTCAAGTTGGCCTCACTCCCAGGATGGTGCTGCCCTCACCCCAGGGGTCTCCCTGTGCCAAGAGAGAACAGTGCCAAGGACTCCCTATTCTCTTGGGGGTGACGGGGCAGGAAGCTTGGAGAAGCCACTGCCCTAGCCCAGAGCCGATTCAACAGAGGATGGCTATGAGATGGGTCCGCGCACAACAGGGCTGATGAAAGGGTGCCCGGAACAACCCCTTGCTCTTTCAGCGCCAGCACTGGTGCCAGGCCTGGAAGTGGGATCTGGGCTAGCAGAGCCTTCCAGTGGAGACAGAACGAAATGTGAGTTCCTGCACACACAGAGCAGGACTGGATCCTGGAGGCTGTTCAAGGGATCCAGGTCAGGGCTTGGAAGCAATGGGGCAGGACCTTGCATCTGGGCCCTGCTTGTGCCTTCAAGGAAACTGAAGCCAACCCTGATCCTTCCCACCTAGCTGGGCGGTTGCAGTCAGGATGCTGTCCCTCTCTGGTGCCTCAGCAGGGTGGTCCACAGAGACCAGTGCTAAGTACGTGGTAGCAGGTTAACAAGCATCAGGTCCCTTCCTTTCTCAGCAACAAGTCAACTTGGGGTGTGGCGCATCTATAGATTGAGGTACCCAGTGCCCAAAACGACAGGCCTATCAGCCAACATAGCTTCAGACTGATTATCCAGACACCTCCTCTGGGAAGCCTCTCTGGATTTTATTAATCTAAATAAAAAATTGACACAGTAGGCAGTTTATGCCCATTTTTACAGATGAGAACAGGCCCTGAAAGGCTAGGTCCCTTGCCTATCACTCAGATAGCAAGCATTGGAACCACAACCAATCCAGGCGGGTCTGGGCCTGAGCCTGGGCCTGGGCCCATCCCCCTGCGGAGACCCCATCACCACACACAACCCAATCCAGCTCACATGGAGGAGCTAGAACCTCTCCCTCCCACTGTGTTGAGAATGACTGATAGGATCCAGGTGCACGCATGTTCCAAGAGATTGTCATTTTAACAGACCAAACAAAGCTAAAGGAATGAATCTTAAATGGCAGAATTCTAAGCATCATTAATGCTTCTGGGGGGTTCGGGGGCTTCTCAGCAGCCCTAAAATTACACCAACACAGCCAACCTACAAGGCTGGTCCTCTCTTAGACACCTGTGCCATCCCAGAGCCTAGCTGAGAGTCCCCATGCAGGCTGGGTGCCGCCAGTGCCAGTGAGCTGATGACAGTGCCATTGGACCTCACCAGGAAAGGTCAGTGAAATCTGCGCTGCTGCTTCAGGCCAACCCAGCCACACCCTCCCTTTCTTCTTCCATTTCCATGCTGTTTGCTGTGGGAGCCCAGCCCATAGCTGTGGCCTTAGCTGTGGCCCATCCAGGCCTTGAATTCTGGCGACTGGGCAGAGACTCAAGGAGGTGGCCTTGAGGATGGGAGGAGGGACCAGATGTGTAAGCTCCTTTTCAAAGATGGTCACATTCTCCTAGGTTGGAGGTATGCACGTACGCACACTCAGACACTGGCAGGCCGCAATCAACCAGACTGGCAAGGTCAGCCTTTCTGCAGGCTGCTCAGCTTGGACACTACTCTTATGCATTGCTTTCTCCCCTTCAGTCCAGCTCGGAGCTCGCCTGAGCCTAATTCTATCAATTGTTTCTTTGTCAATCTTTCCAACAAACTTGTCCCAAGCACTTGCTCTGTGCCCAGGGACTTGTAGGGAGCTCAGCGTCCAAGTGGAAGGAGCAGAAACATGAATTACGTAAGCAGTTTGAATAAAGACTCCAGCAGAGGAACAAATTCCCTAATTCTGCCTAAAGACGTCTCAGAGGAGGTGACATTTGGGCTGGGTTCTGAAGGATGAATAGGAGTTCATGGGGAAGTACATTACTAAGAAAGGAAGAACATGTGTGAAAAGGCTGGAGCAGAAGAATGTGTGTGGGAAGGTGATATTCTGGGGGGAGA